GAAACGTCAGCCTTCCTGCTCGTCTGATGCTGCTTGGCCTGCTGTGTTCATCCAGCTCTACACCTTGTTATCTTAAATGATAATAATATAGTTTATACAATTTTTATCTCACTAATTCATCTATTTCAGTATGGGTTGTTGACAAGGATATTGGGAGCACTCCCCTATTCTTGTTGGAGCAGTGGCTGTGAGATCTTCTACCACCAGCTTCATTAGCATGTGGGACACCAATTTAACAAATTAACTGGAAGCTGGTATTTCCAACTATTATATCCCTTTAGGAAAAAAGCCTACAGCTTGATTTGCTTTTTTATAATCTTGCTAATTTGGGGTTCGACTTTAGTGATTGATGCATTGGGGCTTGGAAATCCTTTTGTTTTCTCCTGAGCTACTTCTCATTTGGATCCTTCTCAAACAGCACCAGGGGTGTACCCACCTTCCACAGACTGCAGCAGTTCAAGAAGGCAACTCACTACCACCTTCTCAAGGGAACAGGCAATAAATATTGGCCCAGCTAGCGATGTCCACATCCCATGAATGAGCTTAAAAAAACCATGAAATGCCAGCCCTTTGTTTAAACTACACCCCATTTGTTAACTTGAATTTCCATTATAAAGTCATAGACTTATTGAGATCTTCAGCACAATCAAAGGTTCTTCAGTCAATTGCAACCACATTGGTCCAAAACAGTCACCTAACTGTTCTAATCCCATTTCCTGACACTTGGCCCATTTCTTTGTATGCCTTGGCATTGTGCATGGACATCTAAATAATTCTTCAATGTTATGAGGGTTTCTGCCTCTACCATCCTTACAGGCAGTGAGTCCCAGATCCCAACACCCTCTGGGTGAAAGCGTTTTTCCTCATATCTCCTCTAAACCTTCTGTTCCTTACCTTAAATCCTCACTCCTGGTCACTGATCCCTCTATCAATGGAAAAAGTTCCTTCCTGTCTACCCTGTCTATACCCCTCATCATTTTATACATCTCAAACATGTCCCCTCTCCCATATCCTCTGTTCCAAGGAAAACAATCCCAATCTTTATAACTGAAACTCTCCAGTTCAGACAACTACTGCTCCAACAAGAACAGGGGAGTGCTCCTGATGTCCTTGTCAATAAACCATACTGAAACAGATGAATTAGTGGGATAAAAATTGTATGAACTATATTATTATCATTTAATCTGGATCTTAAAACAGGCTGTTGGATTTTGGTTAGTTGCTAAATCTCCTCTGCACCCTGTCCAGTGTGATCACATCCCTCCTATAATGAGGACCCAGAAATGCACGCAATATATAACTGTTTATGAGGCTTTCAGTGCACAGGTTGGCAACCATGTTTCCTGAATTATAAGTGACCACATTTCAAAAGTATTTAATTGACTTGTTAATAAGGCATGAAGCACTATGAATACTGCAAGGAACAGTACTTCATCTTAAGTTCAGGCACTTTCCAGACTGAACCATCGTAATCATTGTCCCCACTTTTTCAGAGAGTACTTGTTGTTGGTTATTTTTAGAGCTTATTGAATCACTCCAGTTTCCTGCTCTATCGTAGATCTTCCGTATTGTACTTTACCCACATTCTCTGTCTCTGAGTTATCTGAAAGTCTGTGACATTTGTATTATTAAACAAACGGTTATAAAGGTTGATGAGCTAAAATGCTTGGCTGAATTTTCCCAGCGCCTGAACGATGCGGCCAAAAGCAAGTCGTTTGGGAAGGATTGCCAAGATGAAGAAATGCTATTTTCAGCATTGGGAAAAGAAGCCCAATTTTCCACCAACGTTTTAATAGCTAAATAAGAATCTCCCTAGTGAGGGGTGAGGGGCCTATTTGTTCACATTAACGTCTCATTAATACCTCACCGCTAATTTCGCTGGCAGTGGAGAAAAACTGACAATGTGGTGGCAATTCTTGACATGAAAGTCCGAGATGGTAATGTGGCACCTTGACACTTACTTCTCGGGCCTCCATCTTGACCAGTGACTGCCTGGGCCCTCTGTCATTGAATCATAGAATTCCTACAGTGTCCAATCAGCCCATCGAGTCTGCACCAACCCTCCCCAAGAGCATTCCACCCAAACCCAGAGCTCCCCCTGTAACCCCACATTTCCCATTGCTAACCTACCTAGCATGCACATTCCTGGATACTATGGAGCAATTTAGCACGGCCAAGCCACCTAACCTGGACATCTTCAGACTTTGAGAGGAAACCCACGCAGACGTGGGAAGAATGTGCAAACTCTACACAGTCACCTGAAGCTGGAATCAAACCCTGGTCCCTGGCACTGTAAGGCAGCAGTGCTAACCACTGAGCTACAGTGCCCCAGAGAGGTTGGCATCAGCAAAGCACCAGTCTTGCCTTTTCATCATAGCACATTCAGCAATCACATAATATAGTTAAACAATTCAGTACTGCACTGTGGAGCTCACTGACACCTATTATTGCAATGCTGCTGTGAGACTGCTTTACTGGAGGGACAGGCACTCACCCCATGCATTGGAACAGGGGTAGATCTCAGGCCTCTTAGCTGGCTTTCTTAGTGCTCACTCACTCTGCACCCACTTGGATACTCACAGCATTCTCTGCCTTGCCTTTTAGTGCAAACACATAGCCTATCAGCCAGGCAGCTTATCGTGTTTGGCAGCAATGAACAGTCAAAGGGGACTTACAGTCAGTCAGGAGGCTGTCTGTTGTCAGTCAGGGAAGGTGAGGTGTCACAACTGAGTGAGCAGGAAGCACGTAGGGCAGGAAGGGTCAGTAGTTTGGGAGGATGCGGTGAATGAGAGTTATTGAGGGAAGATGGTGTGTGCAATTTTGAGAGCAGTAGACCATGAGTATTGAGGTGGATGCAATGGCAGAGTTAAGAGTGAATGTCAGGTAGCAGAGAGAATGGTGGCAAAGTGTAGAAGGTCATCAAAGTTATTGTGGCATGGCCGTGCGCTCGTCTGCGCGGTGGGCACATGCTGACCCAGGCAGCAACTTCAGACCTGGGCGGCAGCATTTGGCAAAGTGTGCAGCTGGAGTTTCAATATGGCCTCAGCAGGGTGAATGCAGGAAGGTGCCAACACCAGCAAGCACTTTGCTACTTCGCTGAGCATGGAGGTACTGGGGAGGTGTGGAGCATATATAATTGGGTGAACTGTGGAGAATTGCGTGAGAATACTTGCTAGAGTTCACAGAGAGAAGCACTCTGTGAAACTCTGTTGAATTGACAGCCCATTTTTGGGAAAATTCAGCCTGTTAATTCTGTTTCTGCCTGCACAGATACAGCCCGAGAATTTCCAGATTTTTTTTCGCTTTTATTTCCAATCACAGGCCCAATCTACTCAACCTCTCGATGTAAGGGAGTGTCTCCATACCTGGTATCAGCTTTGTTGACATTCTTTGGAATGCCTCAATGCCAGTATATCTTTCCGTCGATAAGGGGCCAAAACTATCTCAGTATTCTACTTGCGGTCTGATTAGTACCTTATACAGTTTTAGCGGAATCTCCCTACAATCAGTTCTGATATAACGTGATAGTTCCGTTCTCGTGCAATCTTGTGTTATAAGAAAATTGCATAATAGCTGTGCCATTTAAACTAATGGGGCCAGAGTCGCGTTATAGCCAATACAGGTAAAGAAAGTTTGCGATCTACAAATAGCTTTAAGGTTTAAATTCTTCAATCACATTAAAGCCAATTAGCTTTGAAGAAACATGCATTATAGCAGAACCGACTATACTTTTATACTCTAATCCCTCTGAAATAAAGGCCAATATTCCATTTGCATTCCCTGTTTACTTGCTGAGCTTGGAAGTTAGATTTTTATGACTCAAGAGTTCCCAAGTCCTTTTGTTCTGTAGCTTTTGGTAGTCTTTTTCCGTTTAAATAATGTTCAGCTCCTCTATTCATCCTGCCAAACCTCACATTTCCCCACATTATATTCCATCTGCCAAGTTTTTGCTCACTTGTATGTACGTATGTCTGCAGATTCTATTGCCTACGTTTTCCCTGTAGCCTATATATTCTCTCTTTCTTAGATAATAATCCAGTTCTCTCTGGAATGTCTTGATCGGACCTGCCTCTGTTTACAGCATCCTGTAGGTTATTGTGAGAGGTTTTGAGTTCCAAGTAGGGAAATAACCATCTTATTCACAAAGTCAGCAACTAGGAATGAAATTAAGGAGCACATTACTGCAGATGCTGGAATTTGCACTGAAAACAAAAAAAAAATGCTGCAGCTCTGATGAAGAGTCACCTAGACTTGAAACGTTAGCTTGCTCTCTCTCCATGGATGCTGCCTCACCTGCTGTGATCTCCAGCAATTTTTGTTTTCATGACTGAAATTAACCCCAGGCTAGCAGACTGACTGCCAGGAGTTAGCCTCGTTGTCAAAATATTGCGTGCAGGCTTTATATTATTGAGTAATGCAGCTCTTTTTGTCTTTTTACCATAAAGAACAGGAATTAACATTCCAGTTTAAGATCAGATTTTACTTAAGACTTACTCTGTGGCACTGCCTCCGATTCATCGTACAGCCTCTTAAGGACGGCGGTGGCTATAGGCATCATCATAGCAGTGGTGGCTGTGTTACTCAGCCACATGGAGAGAAGGGCAGTGGTCAGCATGATACCCAGGATGAGCCTAAAGAACACAACCAATACAGTGTTACAATCGTTGTACGATATAGGATGGGAGATAACTATTTGTCTGTCGGTGTGTGCTGACACTTTCTATCCAATCAGTGCCATCTCACTGTCGTTTACCTACAGATTTGCAAATATTTTCCCCTTTTAATATTAATCCAACTTCCTTTTCAAAGTAATCGTTGAATCGCTTTCTCCTGTGACCTTTTGTGCAGTTACTCACTGTATAACTTCCTCATTTTGTCTCTTGCTGTTTAGACCATTCACTTGAATCTCTGCCTTCTGCTTACTGACCCTTTTGGAAAGACTTTCTCCTTATTTACTGTAGCAAAATATTTCATAGTTTCTCACACTCTGCTCCCCCCCAAACCCCACCCCTCCACTTAGTTCACAGGATCTCTACAGTGTTGAAACAGGCCTTTCAGCGCAACAAGTCCCCACCAACCCTCAGAGCATCCACCCAGACCCATCGCCCTGTAGCCCACATCCCAGAACACTACGGGCAATTTAGCATGGCCAATGCAACATCTTTGGACTGTGGGAGGAAACCGGAGCACCCGGAGGAAATCACGCAGACACAGGGAGAATGTGCAAATTCCACACAGACAGTTGCCCGAGGCTGGAATGGAACTGGGGCCCCTGGTGCTGTGAGGCAGCAGTGCCATCCACTGAGCCACCTTGCCGCCCTTATTTTTCTCTGATATAAGAAAAAAAAATTCACTTCTCTGGTCTCTCCATGAACCTCTTAGGCACATTTTTAAAGTACCTCCTCAAAGCTCCTTGGACAGTGCCATCCAAATCTGTGACCTCTACTATCTAAAAGGACACAGACAGCTAAAGCATGGGAACACCACCTCATACAAGATGAGTGAGTGGGTAAATGCATGGGAGATGAAGTAAAATGTGGATAACTGTGAGGCTTCCACTTTGAGGCAAAAACAGGAAGGCAGCTTATTCTCTGAATGGTGATAGACTGGGAAAGGGGGAGACACAATGAAACCTGAGTCTCCTTGTTTGCCGTTTGCTGAAAGTACGCGACTAGATGCAGCAGGTGGTGAAGAAGGCAAATGGTAAAGTGAGAGGATTGGAGTACAGGACGAAGGACGTCACGCTGCAATTCTACATGACTTTGGTGAAATCCCATCTGGAGTATATTGTGCAGTTCTGGTCTCCTTATCTCAGGAAGAATATTCTGGCTGTGGAGGGAGTGCAACAAAAGTTTACCAGGCTGATTCCTGGGATGGCAGGACTGACATATGAAGACAGGCTGGATTAGTCAGGATTATATTCACTGGAATTTAGGAGAATGAAGGGGGATCTCATAGAAACCTAGAAAATTCTAACAGGACTAGACAGGGTAAACGTGAAAAGATGTCCCTGATGACTGAGGCATCTAGAACCAGGGGTAACAGTCTAAAGATACAGGGTATGCCATTTAAGACTGAGAGGAGAAGAAATTTCTTCAGCCAGAGACTGGTGAGCCTGTGGAATTTGCTATCACATCAAGCAATTGAGGCCAAAACATTGAATGTTTTGAAGATGGAGTTAGATGTAGTTCTTAGGGCTAAGGGGATCAAAGGGAATAGGGAGAAAGTAGGCACAAGATACTGAGCTGGAACGTCAGCCATGATCATATTGAATGGTGGAGCAGGCTCAAAGGGCTGAATAGCCCACTCTTATTCTTATTTTCTATGTTTCTATATGTGGGGCAGTGGAAGGTATGTATGGGATGTTTCTCCCCCCAGGTTGGTGAAAGTTGGGATAAAGGAAGGTGGAGTGGGGTTGCATCTTTTGCACGGGTACCCTCTGCACACTAGAGACAAGACTGTCTGCCTTTCAGCCAAGCCTCCAAAACCTGCTCCCTGACCGTCCCAACCGCCCCCACCCTCAGGTATCTGATCACTGCTTGCCCAGTGAGCCAGGACTCCTGGCTCCCAGCACAGCCTACAACAGAATTAAGCCCATAAGATTTAGGAGGACAGTCTATCGAGTCTATTCCACCATTTAATGAGATCATGATGATCTGATAATCTTCAATTTCACTTTTCTCTCTTTCTTCCTCCAGTAACCCTCGATTTTCTTCATGATTAAAACTCTGTCTATCTCAGCCTTGAACTGCTGGCACTGCAAGAGCTGCTGATCACTTGAGGGCAAATGTATCTTTGAATGAGGGGCAGAGGTCCCACTCTCTGTTTGTTGAGGTGTCACTCCCAACATAATATCTCTGCAGAGCAGGCTTTTTGAACAAACGTGATCAATTTATCTCCTGAGGCAGGGGGCCATGAGGGAGGAGGGGTGAGCAAAATCTCTTTAAAATTCAGCTCAATGAACTGAACAATCTCCATAGTTGTGATGTTCTAATCTTTGATTACTTGCTTCTCTGGCTTACATTTCTGAATTGAAATTTGTGAACGTTCTGCAGGCATCAAAAACCTATGAAGCCCTGAGTGGGCCAGCGACCACAGACCATGTTTCTGAATGAACTGCACTTCATTCTTTCCATCTTACACCCTGCTACGAGTTCTGTACTATCGGTTCTTGCTGTAGAACTCATCTGCCTTTCTGATCGAAAACATGAATGAAACTTTCCCCGAACATTTCACTCAGCATCACTCCCTACTCTCCTCAATATCCAGCTTTAAACTCTCAGATTGCTTTGGCTCAAGATACATTGGGTACCAAGGCATTCATGAATTTGATTGAATGACCAAAACTTAGTAGTGTAATGTAACTCATAAACAATTACCCCTTGCAGAACAACAAGGGGCTATTTCAAGTGCTGGATGAAAGTTGTTTCTCATGAACTAGAATCCCTACAGTGTGGAAGCAGGCCATTCGGCCCATTGAGTCAACACTGACCCTACCAAGAGCATCCCAACCCAGACCCAACCTCCTACAATATCCCTGTAGCGCTGCATTTCCCACGGCTAATCCACCTAGCCTGCATATCTTTTGACTGTGGGAAGAAACTGGAGTACTTGGAGGAAACCCACGCAGAATATGCAAACTCCACACAGACAGTTGCCTGAGGCTGGAATCAAACCCGGGTCCTCGACGCTCCGAGGCAGCGGTGCTAACCACTGAGCCAATGTGATGCCCCACAATTTCCACTAAAGTTGCAAAATTGCTGCATCATTGCTGTGCTTACATTAAAGGGTTAACCCCCAGACACCCGAGGATTGCGAGCGCTACTCTGCGGTGCAAGTTACAGTCTTCAATCGCCACGGCCAGGATCAAACCACCAAAGAAGAGAACATTTGTGTCAAGGAAGTACATAGGGCAGGTCTTTGATGAAGGTAGGACTCCGAACAGCGGGAAGAGGCTGATAGGGAGCAGTGAGGTTACTGCGAGCGGCAATGCTTCAGTACACCAGAACGTAGCTATAATCAGGATTAAATAGAGACATTTCCCTTCCTGGCGGAGAAAAAAAAAACTAATTAAAACCACACAATATGAAATGAAGTCCATTATAGCGATTGTAAAGATTAATTCTAGTATTGATTTTATTGAAATAAATAAGATCCTGAAGGGACTTGTCAGTCTGGGTGCTAAGGGAATTTTGAAAACACTAGAACTAGGGAACACTGTTCAAAAATAAGGAATTTTCCATTTAAGATGATGATGAGGTGATTTTTTTTTCTCTCAAGAGTCATTATTCCCTGAAATTCTCTTAACCAGAGAGTGATGGAGGCAGGGTTATTGAACATTCTTACACAGAGGTAGGTGACGGACAAGGTGTCAAAGAATTTGTTTAAATTCATTCATGGGGTATGGGCTTCGCTGGTTGGGCCCTCAAGTAATACCCATCCCTAGCTGCTCTTGAGAAGGTGGTGTTGAGCTGCATTCATAAACCGTTGCAGACAATGTGCTGTAGGTAGGTTCACAATGCCGTTCGGGAGGGAATGTCAGAATTTTGAAACAACAAAACTGAAGGAACGGGGATATATTTTCAAGTCAGGATGGTGAATGGCTTGGAGGCGAAATTGTAGGTGGTGGTGTTTCCATGTATCCATTGCCTTTGTCCTTCTTTATAATAGTGGTCATGGAATTAGAATATGCTTCCTAAGGAGACTTAGATAAAGTTTTAAGTGTGATATGAGGATAGGTGTTACTATATTATCAGCTTGTGTATCATTGTTAAAGAAACACTACAACTGACAGCATGCAACTACATGGTCCAGGAGGTATAGCACTGAAGATTAAAGATATGCTACACATAACCTTCCAACAAAAGGAATATTAACCAGTAGAAAACGCAATCCATAATTGAGGATTCTCACTCTTGAGTATGAATGCATGTCTTGATCTCAATCTGATTAAATAGTAACAGGATTCAAATTGGTTAAAGTCAAGGCTGTATGACTCTATGACGCTAAGAAACAATGGCTCCAGGGACATTGAGTAATGGAACAAGGTTAGTGAATGGTTGGTTAAGGAACAGCCAGTTGTAGAGTAGATGGTAAAAGGACACTGGTAGAAGATTTCATAGGCCTTGCTGTACTCATGGCAAAACTGCAACAGAAGACAGAATCCATTGGGTTTAGTTATGTTTCCATAAGAAATGTTTTCATACTGTCAGCAGGATAGAAACTAGTGACTATGCTGGATTAGCAGAAATATTTTCCCCTGCAATCAACACTGAAAAGAATTCAATATGTGAGAGTCAGCAAACTTTATGACAAAATGCAAACATCCAAACAGCCAGTGAAGCAGGAAACTTGAGCTTATTGATACATTTTTAACTGGTGTAACTCAGCATCAGATGCTGAAATGAATTAGCAGACACCCTTTCAAGCACAGAATTTAGTTTCCTTATGCTCCCAGGAGGAATGCTCAGTGATAGTGATCATGCCTAGCACAAAGCAGTTCTAAAGTAGTAGAGGAAGTGGGCATCTTGATGAATCAGAGACATTTTCCAAATGAATCAGTTGCTCTGTACATCTTATAAACTAGTGGAAGTTTCTAGAGGAAGACAAGTGAACTCCAAGGGCCTGCATGGCCAATGTAGGTCCATATCAACATCAGAATTGGGAAGTAAAGACCATTGAATTGACTTTCCGGTTTTCTTTATCTCCACCGCTACCTTTTCAAGGGCAATTCAGGATGAGCAATATTTGCTGCCCTAGCTAGTGATGTCCACATTCCATGGAAAATAAAAAGATTAGGATAAAACACAAGGGACTGATAAACATTGCAGTGGGCAACGTATGATTTTCTGAATGATAGAATTTGTAAGACAGATACCCAACTCTAGTGAGGACTCAGGAAATCTATATTATCATTGCTAGTGCAAGCAATATAGGAACACAAAAACAAAGTTGCTGGAAAAGCTCAGCAGGTCTGGCAGCATCTGTGGAGGAGAAAACAGAGTTAATGTTTCGGGTCCGGTGACCCTTCCTCAGAACTGATGGTGGCTGGGAAAACGTCAGTTTATATGCAGAAAATAGGGAGGTGGGTGGGGTAGGGAGTAAAAGATAAGATAGAGCCCAAAGAGAGAGGAAGACAGTTGGACAGACAAAGGAGTTGCTAACGATCAGGCTGGGAGGGTGAATAGTTGTTAATGGGGACTGTTAGTGACTAACAACAGGGGGTGTGTAGTGGCAGGCTATGTGGTAACAAGGCCTGGTGTGTGGGTTGGGGGGCTGGGACATGGGAGAGTTTAGGCCCTAAAATTATTGAACTCAATATTGAGTCTGGAGGCCTGTGGGGTCCCCAAGCGGAAAATGAGGTGTTGTTCCTCCAGCTTGCGTTGGGCTTCACTGGAACACTGTAGCAAGCCGGAGACAGAGATGTTGGCCAGACAGCTGGACCTGTGTCAAGGCATTTCTGAACAGGTTGTTCAGGAAATGGTTACAATCTCCTGGTTCCAAAATCAAGCTTCTTCGCATCTTCTTTACCATTTTAACCGCCCTGTCCTCTTTGGAAGGGGTTGATCTTAATACTGTGGCGTGGTTTCCTGATTGAGTTGCCTCTCTGGTAACCTGGCCCGTTGACCATTATTTGAGTATGAGACACCAATGTGAACAGATGCTGTCCGGCCATAGAATGCTTCACAATATGGATGACTTCCTGAATTTACGTTGCTGGCAGGGGGCTTTACTCAACTGACCTGCAGATTAGAGTTTTAGCAATGCCCAGATTTAGTTACAGAGGGACTATCAGCAGGTTATAAGATTAGAGCTAGTTACTTTGGATATCAAAAGGGTCACATTGATTACTTCCAACTACATAAATGTCCTTGTATTACTATTGATTAGTGGGAACCTGAGTGTCCGCAATATTATTCCTGGTTATCTGTGCTGTTTCAATGAGTTACTGGCGGAATCAAAATTCATCCTACTTCTGGTCTCCCCATTCCTACTCCCCCACTCCTGTAACTCACTCCCCTCACCTTTAGTTTTCCCATTTCCTTGCTCCTCAGTTTCCCTTCTCTCTCTCCACGGGTCTGTCTTGTCAGAACCTGAAACCTCCAGCAAAGATGTTCAACCATAGAGCATCTAAGGGAAATGCAACCATGCAACATTAAGAGGAATATCCAGATCAGGCTGGGAAGCTTTGCAACTTTTCCTTTTTTGTAGTGTGGGTTAATGTTGGGGCCAAGTAGGCAGAAGATAACCAGTATAATTCGCACGGACATTGCCAGTTATCAGTCTAACTCCATCTCAGGAATTAAGGGCAATAGGATGCTAAGCTCCAAACTCCTTATAGTCATGGTAGTCAAAGAACGACAGTGCACATTACCTGAAGCCTCTGCCATTCTGATTTCTGTCCTTAGAATTTGGGCTAAGTGTGTAAAATAAAAAGTGCACCACATTTCTTGTTTTTACTCAATGAGCTATAGCGGGAGGCCGAATAGGCTGGAGCTATTTTCCCTGAAGCACCGGAGAATGAGGGGTGACCTTATAGAGGTTTATAAAACCATGAGGGGCATGGATAGGGTAAATAGACAAGGTCTTTTCCCTGGTGTCAGGGAGTCCAAAACTAAAGGGCATAGGATTAAGGTGAGAGGGGAAAGATTTAAAAGGGACAGAAGGGCAAACTTTTTCATGCAGAGGGTGGTGCGTTTATGGAAGGAGCTACCAGAGGAAGTGGTGGAGGCTGGTACAATTACAATATTTAAAAGGCATTTAGATGGGTACATGAATGGGAAGGTTGTGGAGGGATATGGGCTAAATGCTGGCAAGTGGGCTAGATTAATTTAGGATATCTGGTCAGCATGGATGAATTGGACCGAAGGGTCTGTTTCCATTCTGTGCCTTTCTTTGACTCCATGAATTTGTTTTATATTACTCCCCCATACCCCACCTAAATCTCACTTTGCCAACATTTGTCTTTCATTCATTTACAGAGCATGGGCAATTCTGGCTGGGACAAATTGATGGCCTGTCCCTAATTGCCCTTGAGAAGGTGATGGTGAGCAGCCTTCTTGAACTGCTGTAGTCCTTGGGGTGCAGGATACACCCACATTTATTTCAGACCAGTAAATCAAACTGAGTCAGCATGGATTTATGAAGGGGAAATCATGCTTGATAAATCTGTTGACGTTCTATGAAGATGTAACATAGAGTTGACTAGGGAGAGCCAGTCGATGTGGTATATTTGGACTTTCAGAAAGGGTTTAATAAAAGTCCCGCATCAGAGATTATTTTGCTAGATTGAAGTACCTGGGATTGGGTGAAGTGTATTGAGATTGATAGAAAATTAGTTGGCATAGAGGAAACAAAGAGTAGGAATTAATGAGTCCTTTTCTAATTGGCAGGCAGTAACTGGTGGGGTGCCAGAGGGATTGGTGCTGGGACCCTAGCTATTCACAATATATATTAATGATTTGAATGAGGGAACAAAATGTAACATCTCAAAGTTTGCAGATGATACTAAGTTGGGTGGGAGGGTGAACTGTGACAAGGGTGCAGAGATCCTTCAGCATGATCTGGACAGGTTGGGTGAGTGGGCAAATCAATGGCAGATGCAGTATAGTTTGGATAAATGTGAGGTTATTCACTTTGGAAGCCAAAACAAGAAGGCAGATCACTACCTTAAAGGCTGTAAATTGGGAGAGGGCAGTGTGCAGTGGGACCTGGGTGTCCTTGTGCACCAGTCCCTGAAGGTAAGCACGCAGGTGCAGCAGGCGGTAAAGAAGGCAAATGATGTGTTGGCCTTCACTGCGAGAGGCTTGAGTACAGGAGCAGGGATGTGTTGTTGCTGTTGTACAGGGCCTTGGTGAGGCCATACCTGGAATATTGTGTACGGTTTTGGTCACCTTTTCTGAGGAAGGATGCTGTTGCTCTCGCAGGAGTGCAGCGAAGGTTTACCAGGCTGATTCCGGGGATGGCGGGTCTGACATATGAGGAGAGATTGACTACGTTGGCATTGTTTTCACTGGAGCTCAGACAAATGAGGGGGACCTCAGAGAGACTATTAAAATTCTGACAGGACTGAATAGGGTAGATGCAGGGAGGAGGTTCCTGATGGTGGTTGTGTCCAGAACCAGGGGTCACAGTCTGAGGATTCAGAGTAGACAATTTAGGACGGAGATGAGGAGACATGTTTTTACCCAAAGAGTGATGAGCCTGTGGAATTCATTACCACAGGAAGTAGATAATGCCAAAACATTGAATGTATTCAAGAAAACAACAAATATGTATTCAAAAGGCCGCTAGACATAGCACTTGGAGCGAATGGGATCAAATGTTATGGGGAGAAAGCAGGATTAGTCTATTGAGTTGGAGCAGGCTCGAAGGGCTGAATGGCCTCCTCCTGCTCCTATCTTCTATGTCTCTATGTTTCTATTCCTGAAATTACCTGAACCTACCTTAGGAGGCATTAGAAATACTACCGGTAAAAACACAAACGGTGCTAAGATTAAGATGAGGTGATGCCGAAGGCTCCATATTCTCAATAAGCCGTTCTTCATGACTTCGATGGCTACAAGTGATGAGAAGTCCAGTCAATAGCTCCCAACTGGACAATTGGCTCAATGAGTGATCAAGACTTCCCCTTTGCTAATATCAGGAGACAAGTTGCTTTTGATCCTTCAGGTTGTACCTTCCACTTGGCTGGTGCAAAGCAAACAGTTTGCTTGATCACAATGGCAAAAAAAACCCCACAGAAAATGTTGGAGATGCTCAACTTTACAGGTTATGGCCGTCTCAGTAGAAAGTGTGTGAGTGAGAAACAGTGTTAAAGTTTCAAGGCTGGAAGCCTTCTTCAGAATTGGGAGGAATTGTAAACATAATCGCTTTTTGAACACGGAGTGGGTGGGACAAGGACAACAGGAATGTCTGTGATAGGATGGAAGGCAAGAGAGTTTGAATGACAGAAAGGTTAGCCCTCCGGGGACATCGAAAGAAACAAAGAAACAAAAGATGTGCCTCAGAGCAGGTGCACTGCAAACTGCAAGCCAGAGAAAAAGGAGAGAAGAAAAACATTCAAAACATGCAAAGGAAAGGAAGCAAAATGAGGCAGAGACGATGGTCAGAAATTGTTGAACTGAATGTTGAAATAGCATGAGAGCTAGTTGGAGAAGCTTGGGGACAGTATGGAGGTGCTCCTCAAAGCTGTTTGGTCTCACCATGAGGAAAGGAGAGACAATATTTGCGAGCAACGAGTACGATAAACCAAGTTGAAAAACTGCACCGAAATAACTCGCTGCTTCATTTGGAAGGAGGATTTGGAACCTCGGGCAGTTAAGGAAGGTGTAGCTAAAAGGTCAGGAGTTACACCTTCCTGAGGTTATAAAGGAAGATGCTGTGGGAAGAGGTGCGATGGGGGTGACTGAGAAGTGGGCTAGGGTTTCATGGAGAGAATGGTCCCTTCAGATATGCTGAAAGGGAGCAGATGGTGGGTTAGGGTTACCATCGATGGGTTTTCTGTTTACTCCATCTGGCTTTTGCTTTCCGTGAACAAAGGACTCATTTAGGACTGGGTGGTTTTGGCTGTCTGTTATTTTCATGTACGCAATTGACAATCACACTCTGCTAGGGCAATTATCTGCTCAAAGAGATTGTTAATTTATAATTAGATGTTCAAATTGCTCAAATCAATGAGTCTCATGCAGTCTGTGTGTGTCCTGAATTCATCATTAATTAAACTCGCAGAATATGAAATAGTATCTAACAGGTAGCACATAGGAATTTGCCAGAACAGAGATAGGTTTCACTGAATTACACAGAAATTACAGAAATCGAACAGGTCATTGAGCAAGATGGTCTGTGCTGGTGTTTATGTTCCACACAAACCTCTTCCAACTTCACATGATTTATCCCTTGTTTTCATTCACTCATGGGATGTGGCCATTATTGGCGAGGCCAACATTTATTGCCCATCCCTAATTACACAGGGACAGTTAAGAGTCAGCCACATTGCTGTTGGTATAGAGCCACATGTAGACCAGACCAAGTAAGGATGGCAGATTTCCTTCTCTAAAGGATATTAGCATCCTAGATAGGTTTCTACAACAATTGACAGTGGTTACACAGTTACCATTATGGAACTAAAATTTCATCATCTCCCCTGGTACGGGTTGAACCCACGTCACCAGAGCTTTAGACTAGGTGCTTCTATTACTAGCCCATTAAGGATACCACTTGGCCACCAGCTCCCTTACTGTTCTCTTGTTCTTTGTTAATTTATCTAGATTTTCCCTAAATACATCCATACTATTCATCTCAACAACTCTACATGATAGTAAGTTCCACCTGCTAACCACCTTCTGGGTATTCTTATTCAGGAATGCAAATGTTTTACAGTTCCATGCTTGGTAAGTAGGCTAACATATCATAGAATTATAGAATTATAACAGTGTGGAAGCAGGCCATTCTGCCCATTGAGTCCACACTGTTGACCATCCCACCCACACCCACCCCATAACCTATCCTCATAACCCTGCAAGTCCCATGGCTAAACCACCTAGCCTGCATATCCCTGGACACTATGGGCAATTTCCTTACACGTATCTGCACCAGTAGTAAGGTTGCCTACTGCTTCTTCAACATAACTCATGACTCAAGCCCTGCCTCATTTCAATTGATGCTAAAGTTCTCATGTATACTTCTGTTATCTTGGCATTTGATTGTAGCACTCCTGGCCATTTTCTCACTTTCTACTGACTGTAAACGTGAGCTTAAAGTTCTGCTCACCAATTCACAACCAGAACCATTGACCATGGGTGCTGTGTTCGCTGACCGATATTGGTTCCCAGCTAGGCAACTGATTTCTTTTAAAACTCTGCTTGCTTGTTTTTAAATCCCACCATGACCATGCCCTTGTTGTGTTATGTCTGACGGTCAGTATGTCAGAATACCTCTCGGAGATATGCATTGGAAAATAGGGTTAGAATTGTAAGGAGTTTGCTTTTGATTGGTGTGGATGCAATGGGCTGAAGGGTCTTTATCTGCCTTGTAGATCTCCATGGCTCTATGACTCAAATGGCATGCTCATAATAACATCACTGTATCATAGTATGGGACCTGAGGGTATAAAGTTCTCAGACTCCATCTTACCCTGGGATCACTTGAATCATGATGAGCTGATGAAAGTATGCTGCTCATTGTTGACAAATAGCCTAATAGGAGCTCAGACACTTATGTGCCTGTGAGTGTAATAGTTGTGTATTATAACCAGCTGTAAGAAATGTTTTGTTGGATCTTTCAATACCGTATTATTCACACCTAGTTTCTTATGTTACAACTGAGGGCAAAGCACAAATCATTCCCTCTCCCCAACTCAATAATCTCTTCCAAGGCATTCCTCTCATTCTGGAATTTTCATCTTTGCCAATTTTATTTGGTCTCCCATTGTTGGTTGTGTCTTCAGCTGTTTGGGCTCCGAACTCTGGAATCCCTCCCTCAAACCCTCCACCTTTCCTTCCTCCTTTAAGATTCCCCTTAAAAACCTACCTGTTAGATATAACTTTTGGTTACCTTGCCTCATATTTCCTTAAGTGACTTGCTATTCCTGTGAGTCACCTTGAAGCAAGACGTATGTATGCATGTGTGTAGATGCATATATCTACAAATACAAGTCAATCGGACATTCTCAACTCCAAGATCTCAGTACAAACCACCGTGTTTCATACATTTCTCTCATTTATCTCTTAGCTGTCCCTTTGACAAGGATGAGGCTTGTCATGGTGCCCTGGAATAGAGAGTCCGAGAGAGATTTAAAAAAAAGGTAGAGGGAGAGAAAGAGACAGAGACTGGAAGGGACGGGGATGAAGTCAGTGAAAAGTAGAAGAGGGAAAAAGTGAAAAGTACAAGGCTAAGGGAGTAACAGTATCAAATGTTCACTAACGTCCTTTAGGGAAGGAAACTGCCGTCCTTACCTGGTCTGGCTTACATGTGACTCCAGACCCACAGCAATGTGGTTGACTCTTAACTGTCCTCTGGACGATTAGGGATGGGCAATAAATGCTGGCCTAGCCAGAGATGCCCTCATCCTGTGAATGAATAAAGATAAAAAGCAGGGAGACAAATCCTTCAGTCAGTCTTTTGGTGGTTGATGAGAGATTGCATGACTTCTTGAGTTTTCTTCCTCCTCTTGTGCCTTTAGCCTTCATCATCCATGTTCCTTCAAAGCCAGGTGGAGTAAGATAATGGTGAAGCAGTGCTCATCATCATGGATGCTTCACTGCACTCTCTTCCCAGTTATTGAGCTTAAATCCAATCTTCTTCAAGTAGACTTTGATTGTATCTGTATTAAGCAATAAACAAAACAAAACTCTGCAAAAGGACAGTTTTATTGAATTGGTTGATAAACTAGCTTCATTACTTCACAAACTTTCTCTTTTCCATTCGGCTAATGAGGTAATGTAAATCTCTTGTTTTGTTATCTCGTCACTAGTTTTTTGTCTGGTGTGACAGGAAGTATTTATTCAGCCATGTGAAACCTCTAATTGTAAGGGGAACTTTGATTCTGTATCACACTGTCTCAATTGTGGAGACCACGGGCTGAATCCACCATTTTTTACAAGTTACTTTATGTTTTTTGGACAGATTCCTACTGTGAGGCCTAGCGAGATTCCTTCTGTATCTTGCCAATGTGCCTCATTAACTACTTACCCCGACCCCATGGCATCTCGCACATCTGATTCCAACTTCATCTTACCACGTGCCATCTCCAGAACAACTCACCACCCAATGGATATCATTGAAAGACTGGCAGCCCATGTACCATTGCTTGGGCCAGTGCTCATTGGCATAATATTTTGTGTCAGTGCCATCTCCACAGAGTAGGGGAGCAGCCAGCTACACCATAACAAGGTCAATGACTGTGCCAGTGTAAATGCAAACCCTTCTGCCGATATCTCACGCTCACTCTATCTCTATGACCACACCCACCTTCCACCAAGGCTACTTTCCCACCTGCCACTCTGCCTTCAACATCTGCCACTACTCACTCTCACCCAACTCCCAGCCTCCCATACCACATGGCCTCTGTGCTCCCTACTCACCTGCTTGGTACACACCAACGCCTTTTGCCCATTGGCACCAGCACTAACAGTCTTGCCATCCACATTCATCTCGCTCAGTTCCTTCCTTTCCCTTATTACAGGAGAAACTACTCATTGTAGGGCAGAGAGAGCCTGTGCAGATTGAGGGTTGCTGGATATTATACACTCCCCACCATCATGAGGCCCTCGAAGGAGATGGTTGGGACAGCTCTTGTAGGGCTGATGTCCATGTCCCACTAACCAAGTAAGTACCACTCTTCATTAGACTGCAGTAATCCTGCTGTTAGTGTTATCCATTTCGTACCATTTCTAACCACTGACCAGGATACCTTATCTCCCTTGTGTGTTTTAGGTACTGCCAGTATCAACACGACCGCCTACAGTGAAATAGTCACACACCCCACAAGATGCCTCCTCAAGCTTTGAAGATGATGGTATGGAGGCCTCAGAGGAAACATCAGTGA